GACCATCAAAGTGGGATAGGGGGTTCAAACGTTGTGCCAGGGCAAACAACACCTGGAAGCTCAGAATAAATGAAAGCGACTTGGGATGTGTGAGAGACCAAGTCCGTCATGTCGTGCACGCTGGTGTATAGCTCCAACAGCTATGGATTGTCAGTTTCAATTTATACAACCAGTAACCATGCGCTTTCGTAAAGAGTTTTCGGTTACTTTTTTGGACGCCCATTTGAATGACGGAAGAAGTGTGAAGCTGTGTGCATTATCAGAAAGCATTTAAATTACATTTGTGAAGAAGTTTAATGGATGTGCGAGCGTCACTGTTTAAGACAATCAGTGACACCATTCAGTATCTCTAACTGTCGACTAGATTGATAGGCCTGAAAATTACAATCATCAGTGTGATTTCAGTTGAGGCATATACGACAAACAATGACAACGAATTAGTGTCAGTATTTCTCAACTCAAACCAGTGCCATTATAAGAACAGGTGGCGAGTGAAACGACCGAGGTGTATGTTAACTTGGGCGATGTTTAGGATGTGGAATCATTGCGCTAAAAGTAGTCATGTTCACTCGGCTAAACAAGCTGTGTTTCACAGTATGCGAGACTCTCCATTGATTGTTTGATTTATTGTCAAATTGGAATGGTGCATTTTTGGAATACCACAAAGGATAAATTGAACAGACTGATCATCAGTCAACTTGCCATCGATTCGATTTCCCTGGGAGAGGTTTGTGTCAACTAGCTAACCCACTTCAATAGTCATTGTCTGAAAGCGTTCTCGGTTTCAGTGGTTGGCCAACTAGTCAGTCACTTGCTTGCTTACTTACTCGCTCGCTCGCTCAACCAGACGGATTGGTTGAATTGGCAGTCCGCGTTCCATTGTAGGAGCAGATAGGGTCTGCGGCTGGGTCCACCAAAGCCCATTATTTTGTACACCCGTTACGCGCGCACGTGTGTGTGTGTGTGTGCGCGCGCGCGCGCGCTTGCGTATGACTCATGAGAGCCCTGCTAAATTGCATGTCCAACTGACTGCGCTCTTCCCTGGGCTCAGTAAGGTCGCATGCTCGCACACGCGCTTCAGCCACAGCGCAAGGCCAGTGCACATGGGGCGCGCAACGAGATTTGTCACCTCTGGTCAAGGGCATTGACAAGCTTGATGCGTGGGTGGTGTGCACGGATTGTGTCTATCCGCATATTCTGGGCCCGCAGTAATCATCATCACCATACCAGGGGACACGTACACTCCGGCCGACACGTGATTGGGTTGTGCGTCCGTGTGCCAGTAGTCACATGGTACAATATGGCACGTATGTGCGCGCGCGCATTCGCGGCTGTGATCGACCGGAAGGAAACCGGAATTCGCGCAATCCTTGTGGATGTATACAGCAGACACAAGGGAAGAAAGACATCAGTGCGACAACAGTGCGACGATGCGTCCGATGCGATGTGGCGGTGGGGACGTTACGCACACACGCTTGTCTAACAAGTACGCTACGCAGAGGAGCACCGTGACGGCCTGCAGACCGAACGAGTTTGTTAGTCACAGGCCCGATGACGCAGCACTCAGAGGCAGTCGCTGGTGTCAGAGCGGAACACAGAGCACACACGCACACTGAAGGCGCCTAAAAGCCGGTCGTTGATTATGACGGACTATTTGCGAAAGTTCAGCCATCCCGCTTGGCTGACCGTGACTGGATGGGTCTTGGGATCATCAACCAATGTGTGTGTGTGTGTGTGTGTGTAGACACCAGACATCCTGAAAAGTACGACATGGGAGAAACAAAACAGCTGACTAAGCCTACCAACCGACCTTACCAGCTCTGCCTCTTATCTGACCCGGTCGTCCCCAAGCTGGGACTAATGCCTAAAGTTTCAAGCGGACTGTTGTGTCTGCTGTGCTTCAGGTATAGCGCGCGTTTTAGTCCTTTCGGATCGGTAAGTAGGGAGGGAGTACGGAACAAATCTGAGGAAATTTTCCGACGGTTGGTCAAAGGCCCCGGTGACATGGGTCGGTGAAATCACATGAAAATAGAACGAATGAATGAGGACCAACGTGACCGAACGTGGTATAATCAATGGGGAACGTGTGGCCTTTATAGTGGGTCGCGTAGTTGCAATAAACAGTCATCAAGTGGGTCTACTTATTCGAGGAAGTGTGCCTGCACGCGCGCACATACACGCACATTTGGACTCTTCTGACCCAGCCTTACCGATGGCAAGGGAGATGGGCAACAGTTCGGGGTGTCCTGTGCAACCTGTGCCAGTACAACAATGTTTATCTCATACATACAGGTATCATTCCGACGGACCCGGAGATGACCAGCCCCAACAACAACCCACTTCACCATGGTCGTTACTTAGACAACTATCAATGGTCCCCTACACAGAATACCAAGTTCTATATAAGGTGCGCGACAAAAGAAAAAATGATCAATCCTCCAGTAAGTCCAGTAAGGGCATTTATTCAATGACCGAAACGATTGTGTTTAGTGAATGAGGTGAGAAACGCGAGGGCTGGGGGAGGGGGTAGCGACGTTA